ARWCWRWARAAGRATCCCAGACCRATCCACAAAAATRTTATTGACTGAAGGAACCTTCTGCATTATAGACAAGTTTCACYTTATTTGTAGATTTCTTCAAGACAAGACTTTGATAGTAATTATGCCAAGCTGAGAAAATAAATAGCAAAAATAAAATTATTAATTCTTTTAGGAGCTAAATCTAGTGAGTATCTAGAAAATACTTTGCTTGTAAACTAGTGCTTCTGCAGTTTCTAGTGTGGTATTAYCATGAGTTTGTAGAAGCTCATACATGTTTGTGGTTGAAAATTAGAATTATTTCTGTTATTTCTTAAATTTAGCATTAAATAGATCCTTAAAGCCAGGACATTTAATATCCTAAGCTGGCATCTGTCTCATAACTTAAAATCTAGATGCTGTGTAGTTCCAAAGGAATGCCAAGCTTTTTTTCTGAGAAATGAAAAAAAAATGCTGAATTGATGGAAATAATGAGTTTATCTTATTCCTTTTTGTTAATTTTAAAGAAAATTTTGTCTAATGTCTATTTGAAGTGCTTTGTATATCAGATGTTCATGCATTAGAAAAATAGGTGTGTAAAAATSAGAGCCAGTGGCAGTACTACTGAGCTTTTAGCTTGATGGTTGTTCTGGAGGACTTAGACATGTAAGAGGACACAGTTTCTGCCCATACAGCATAAGCAGGCAAACAAATTGCTGGTGTTTCAACAAAAGAGTCTCTGTTGCTCTTCACCACTCTTAAAAGCAGAGACAGGAAAAAGGCTTCAGCAGCCTTACTCTGCAGTGACCTTTATTTCCTTTCACTGATTACTGTAGTCCCTGAAAATGGGTAAASCAAACTATGGCCATGCAGTGCAAAAAAAACACTGACTCTGTRCTTATTAATTTATCATGGCTCACTACTTAATCTATGTTTTCAAAATGCCCTGACTTATGAGGCAAAGAGGGAATGTAGAAATGTGAGGGAAACTATGGAGCTTCCCTTGCTCTAAGYACTTTTTCTCATTTAAATTCTGTGGAAATCCCACTGTCATTGAGTCCTTTGTGAATTGAGCTCATAGCAGCTTTGTCGTGTGCRGCATTTTAATAAGGTCAGACTTAGAAAATTGTTCATTTACTTCTTGTCTACTCACCATCATGTCCTTTTTCTGTTCTAGTAGAATTTGTACAAGCTGTAGCTTAATGTTTGGGTTTTTTTCTTTTCTCTGAAGGAATGCAGACACTGTTACAAAATAAGCTGTAGGCTCTTCCCCATGCCAGGGGCTGTGCTCAGTCTTGTTGCTTAAAGAGACATTTTTCAGTTGATCAAAAGAGACATAACTGAGGCACAGAGAAATACCTAGCCAAGTGGAATAAGGTTGCAGGATTGCTGATTTCCTTGTCATGACATAAAATCTAAACACTTTTTCTTTTAATGAATGTAAATAGTGAGGTAAGGACTCCTGGAACAGGAAACCTTGTTAAGCTTTAAGGAAATGAATTAATTTGTTCTCCTGCATTCTTGTTTTTCCCACAAACTGGAATTCTRCTTCTCTTKTCTCATCTAAGGAAGACATGCAAAGATATGTTGTGACCTGAGTTCAGCTGGAAAGAAGGATTGTGAGGCAGCAAACACAATCAGAAACACTTCATCATGAACTATTGATCTGAGTAGYTGTCTATGCAGGGAATAGTACTGTTTGTGTACTTTTTCAGAGCTTACTTCCAGAAGCTTTACTAAGACAGGCTGTTAACAAGCTCTTCTGAGCTCATAGCAACAGTTCTAATCCCTGTTTTYTCTTAAATGTTAAATTGTTAAATTTATGTTAAATGCAGAATACAAAATAATGTTAAATACAAAATAATTTTCAGTCATGAAATGTGCATCAGTTAACTTCATGTGTGTGGTTGTTAACCTTGTGACATACCCATACTGAAGTAAAAGCTTACGTTGTTTTAATAGTTCTTTCTGTAATGTCATGCATAATACAGGGTTTGTTTTTTTTTTATAGAATTAGTAGAATCATAAATACTTCAAGTGAACTCACATCTTATGGTGCTTCTATTTTGCTACTTCTGTTTAATGCACTCTTAAATCTGTGGTCACCCTACATGTTCAAATATCTTACTGAATACTGCCCAGAAGCAGCTGGGGAAGAAGAGCTTTTAAAAATGTGGTCCTGATATTTAGAAGAGTACAGGAATTTTTTTGAACCTTTGCATTTGAGCATTCTGGTCTTGAAATTGTTTCAGTGGCATGGGGTTGGGCTTGGTATTATATATGCTATCAATGTGGTGACMTGTATTTGTGGTGCAAAGGTGATGAAAATACAGTCACAGAGAGAATGTATTTATAAAACATTATATCAGTAAAATCTGATTTGGTCTTGAATAGCTTCACCTTRTCATGTTTATTTTTCTACAAGTATTCCCTTTTGGAAAAAAACTGCAGCACCTGTGCTTTGTCTACCACACTGATATTAGCCTCTGTAAAAGTTCCAGGACTGCAGTTAGTCTTTTATTTGTTCCCCTTYTTTGTTTTTTCTCTCTAAAATATAATTTTGTCCTACCTATGCTGGTGCCTCCCTTGTGCAAAACAGCCAGTATCTTTTATCTCATTCTTGATGTAGAACTTAGTAAAATTGAGCTGAATCCCTTTMTCCATAGGTGATGAGGCAGCAAGCTTATCCTACTGTGTCAGATGACATTTTAYAGCAACTTTTATTTAGCAGTGAAGAATGTTAATTCTCGAGTCTCATAGCACAAAGTATTGAGATATTTCTTGAAGCTATGGATTTATTAAGATTGGGTTGTTGTGACATTAATAGGTAATAATATGTTGCAGTATATTTAACAGTGAAGATAAAGTTTTTTAAAAAAAACTTGGGAAGGTTTGCTTCAGACATAAATGTGCATAACTTGGATTAGAAATAAGAGCTCTGATATTTAAACTTTCAAGAACATGCATTTTAATTAATTCCAGTAATGGTAATACAAGTTCTGGTCTGTCCATATTTTCATGTCCTTCACCTTAACCTAGTTTTATGCTTCTATTTTTTTTAACATCCTTATAGAACTGTTGAGGGTGTTTACATTATGCAAGTGAACTCCGTAGTGCTCTGTAGCCTATGCTCTCCTCACTCATGGAYKTACACTCAYCTTAAAGTTGTCTTTAAATATGTTAGTGACATTTAATGCCTCTAAAAAAATGGAAACTATTTTCTTTAAATTGTAGTGAAGGAAATCTGGCCACAAAGCAAGTAATTTTTCTTCAGAGACCTGTTATGTGGAGTTCTGCTGTCCAGACACCAGAGGTGAGTAACACATTTGTGRTATTAATATAAAAAAATAGTGCTTCTCATAATGGTAAGATACAGAAAGAAACTAGACTTCAGAAATAATAGGGGGAAAAAAATGGCAGAACAGGGTTTCCCCTCAAACAAGTTCAAGCAGATGTTTCTTGCAGCTGGATCATGTTATTTTTTTTTTCCCTCTGCTGTTGCCTCTTAGCTTAAGCCATGGAGAAAAGCATAAGCATGCTAAAAGTCTGTTTTGTGCTAAGGAATTATTGTGTGTCAGGTGAATGAGGCTGGCTATGCTGTATTTCCTTGGAAATCTTTAGGGAGTCTGAAAAGTTCTGATCAAAATCCTGCATCTCTTGTGCATGAAACAGAAATCTGTTTTGACCTTCAAAATGTCTGCTCTCACACTTTTAGCAGAAAGAAGCGTTAAGCTGTGCTGTAAGGGATACTCTAACCTGCAGGTTATCTGGGTGAAGAGCTGTTGTTGCATGAAAATGTGTGACAGAGAAAAAGAGGATTTAAAATTCCTGCAGCTGAACCTCAACTCCTTGTCCCTTTTGAGTGAAGCTCCCAGAACAGTGCATGTAGCAAGTGCTTTGAGTATTAAATAACTGCAAGTGCTTTGAGTATTAAATAACTGAGTCCCCACATTCTGCTCAGTGTCACAGCAGTTACTGCACATGCACAGACTGCAGTAAAACCTGCTGTGGCCAGAGAAACATCAACCACTGATGGGCTTTTCTTTGCCAGGATTTTTGACATCCTGTGATGGCTTTCAACTTTTTGTTCTTTCTGGCTTTCAATTTTCATTGTTTTAGTCTTTCTCTATTTAACACGTTTTTCCTGTGATAATCTTAAGCAGTTAGGAAAGCTGTGAATGTTTTCACTCATGTCCAGCACCAGGGTAGGAACTTTACAGACTCATTCATGGCAGTATGTATTTTATGGCAGTGATACCTAGCTGCTTACATATAAATGCTTCCATGAGTCTCTAAATTTCTTGCATTTGTAGTTGATCTTCCTCTGTAACTTTTACTGTCTGTTCAGTGTGTTGCCATCATCTGTGTTTTCCTTTGTGTAGTGTTTCTAAAATACTCTCTTCCTTTTTTTGTTCTTCTCCAGGCTTCTGCTTATCTCCAGCCTAACTTCCTTCTCACTGTATCCCCTGATGATTGGTATTTCCATGCTGGGAAGAACTGCCTTTAGCATGCACAGTTCAAGTCCTGTTTTATTGTTTTGGTCTCCCCCACTGTCTCAATTCCAGCTAGTTCTTGTACACTGTAATTTATTTCATTTACAGAATTGGAGCTTTTGCTTTTTTTCTCTGCAGTGTTCTGTGTAGTCTCCTTTGCCAGTGTCTTAATCTCTCTCCATTCATATCCTCTTCTAAATTCTGCCAATGGCTTTTTTTTCCCTAATCACCCTCTGTGTAGAATGCATCTCCAGCTTTAGCTTTAAAACCTTCTGRCCTCTCTCATGTGCCTGACTTGGTAGTCTTTACTTTCTTTACTAATACATTTCTGAAAGTATGTTTTGGACTMCAATTTTTGATAGCAGTACTGTAAACATATTAAACAGTATCATCTCAGTCATAAAATAAAATAATGCTTTTTCTGCTACTTCTTCATAATACTCTGTGTATAATAAGGGAATGCACTCCTGATATGAGTACTTTTCCCTTGGTATAAGGCATAATTTTACTTTTAACTATGTGTCTCTTAAAAGTGTAACTGTATGTCACAAGTTGGATTCAGACAAGAGATGTAATACAAACCAGTTCTGTAAAAACATTCAGTCTGAGGAACTGATGAGCCTTTGAGACATGGCTTAAATTAAAAATAGGAAGCATTATGCTCACTGTTTAAATTCTTTGGCCCTGTTGTGGGGTGATGAGCGGCTTTGGTTTATACAAACACAATGTTTTGTAGTTGTTGTTTTAATTTGTTGTGATAAAAACCTTTGACTTAAGCATTAAACATACTCCAAAAGTAAACAAGAAATAGCTGATTTGTAGCCATTTACATCAGGATTTCTGTGTTTAAAATCTGYGCAAAATGTGCTTTTTCAGTGCCAGTGAATGTTTTATTTCTCTACCAGGAAATTTCAGTATGCTGAGGTCATTTAGCATGGGATAAATAGGTAACTGGGGCTGAAGCTGAAACGTTTAGCAGTTATATTTTCCTTCTGTTTTGCCAATTACATTGGTTTTCCCCTACATTTTAATCTCTTTACTTAATTGCTTTTTTTRCCCAAGTGTTTKCTAGTTTTGCATTGATTACTTAGATTTCARGTGTAAAACAAGCTACTAAAACTTGAAAACATTCCCTTTTGCTCTAGTAACTTCAACATTTGGTGGGGGTTGGGGCTTTTTTGGTTAGGGTTTTTAATTTTGGTTGGTTTGTTTTTGTGGAGTTCTTTTTGTTTCCTGTAAATTTTATTTAAAATGTCCTCTGGACACTAACACAGCTGTACGGCTTTATCAAACCTTGTAAACTTTTTTGTAAAAACATTTAATTCCTGTGATTGTGTATTGTTGGTCATGGCATCTTCCTTTTCATTTGTTCTGTGTATCTGTTCACTGATGTTCATATTACATTAAAGCTGCTGTTAAAAAAATCCTCACGTCCACAGCTTAGGATGTTTTGGAAACACAGAAATATTGCAGATACCCAAAGTTTAAGTTAAAAAATAAATTGCATCAACTTACGATTTTTTAAGCAGGCATTTAGTATCTTTGCAACTCAAATACCTTAAGAAGAGTGGTTCTACCAAGGCTCTTTCATTACTGAGCTAAGAGAGCAGCCTCACCCATGGCCATGGCAGGAGCTTTGCCCCTAGGCAGGTTCAGCTGTTGGATCTCTGACTTAAAATGGCCACATCAGCTATTGAGTGCTTTCTGTACCCAGGATTTCCTCTTTTTGATTGTTGTGTTGAAGTCAGCATTGCCATTTCTAARGGAAGCTTTGCTTTGGTGAGGATTGAGGAGAAATGTCACCCCCACCACCCCGTACCTGGTCTCTTAATCCCACAGGATCCCTTTTCTGGGGATGGAGTGCTRTGTCCTCACAGCTCATCTCTCTGCCCTCTTGTATATTTGTGGGGTAGTGTTATGGTCTGGCTCATGATTTATGGAATAGCTCAAAAGTTTCTTGGGTTACAAGGGCTGTACTATCTCAGTGGGGCTCTTGTTTATCCCATACCATTTGCTTTTCTAAGAAAAATGTTTAGAGGATGAGATGCAAGATTGAACCATTCAGTGTTTGAGGGGTTTGGGTTTTCTTTCTCTTTATTTCCCTTGAGCAGACTTTTTCATTTTCTTACTGTGGCATCCAGGCAAAACTTATTTCCTTCTGTTTCTCCTCAGGCARTGCTATTTCCCTTTAGTCTAATTTGCCAGTGTCCCCTGTAACAGCTTTCCTAAATATGTTTCCTTTGGTTACATGGGCTATTGTTTTTACTGTTTTAAAAGGATTTGAGAAAAAAACTTAGCAATGTACAGAAGAGGGACACAAACTTGCCAAAGCATAGTAAAAGTCTGTGGAGTGTTTTTGTTGTTAAGGTGCTTGCACTGTGTCTGTTACTTTTCTTGCTGACATTGGCAATCATCACTTCAGCGAGAAAGATATCAGGCAATCCCAAAATAATGTCAGACTGTATTTATGCTGAGTTCCTCCTATGCAAGGACTCTGTAGATCCCATTTTAAATGGCTGTGCAGAACAGCCACTGACTTGTAACTGCATAGATATACCATGGGAACTGTAATTGCCTCCTCAGATAATGCACATTTGAGAATTGCACTCAGTGTTAAAATGCAGCTCTCACTAAATCTGTCCATGACTCATTGCTGAGTGTTTGGCTGAATTGTTTTTCCCCTWAATACACTAACATTTCAATATCCTCTTGTATTTCAGAGGAAATCCTTAAGACAAGTGACTGGGGAGGAAAAAGGCAAAGTGTCCAGCAGAAGTGTTGGATCAGACACAGCKACTTCTTGCCCTGTACAAACTGGACAACCACCTCATGAGTTTCACCTRTCTCCTTCTAAACAATGTTGGATCAAGGAGGGATCTTCCCATTATGGAGGCTTTCCAGGATTCAGTAGCAGTGATGGAGTATTAAGGGAACTGGATGATGGACAATTTGACCAGGAAGATGGAGTCACTCAGGTCACATGCATGTGATAAAGTAAGTAACTGCATCAAATGGACATGTACATAAATCACATAAATGGATTTTTTTTTTAAATTACACTACTTTGAATGCATTGGTATAATCCTATGACTTTTGAGAAACTYCCTTTGTGTTTTTGTCATTTTCCTTGTTGTGTTAATCCTACTGTAGTAATAATACTACTGCAAAATAATTTTTCTGTCTTTAATAGTTATAACTATATGACTTGGGTGCTCTGCTAACTTGTTAATGCTTTTGATAAGCAAGGAAGCAAAAGCTGCAAAACAGTGACAGTTTGGATTGTGTGAGAGAGAAAGGAATGAGGATGTTTAGAATTTTCCACAAGCTGGAGGAATGTTTTTGAGCTTGGTTGTTTTGCTGTTCAGATTTTTTTTAAGGATGTTGTAAATATTGGTGGGAAAAAATTAACTGTCTGGCTGTTGTTAAGTTTTAATGTAATTTTCACTTTATTTGCCTTGTATAAGTTCAGAAGCCTTGAGAAATTTTAAGTGTTACACTAGAGAGTTAATAATTTGAGCTATTATTATTCAGGCTTGGTATGGACAGATAATCTCAGGAGGCTGTAGGCAGATGCTCCTGGAATACAGCTTCACCTGTGCAGTTTTTACAGGGTTCCTTGTACATGTAAGCCAGGAGCTTATGGCTTGTATTATAATGATGTGTTCATAGTACTCTTGTGAGTGGAAATCAAGAGCTGCTCATCCCCCAAAAGGTCACTTGCAGTCTGTGAACAAGGAGTTTGAGAAGCTCCCTAAGAAGCACAATGATGCWGCTAATGCATAGGAGGGGGATGTAGACTAAACTTCATAGGCAATATTAGATCGATGTATATATAAAAATGGCTCAGCTAAATGTATCTCACACTGGATAAAGTGTATTGAGCTGCATCAAATACCAGACATGATATTGGGAGGAAAGGATCCAGTTGCTGTGCTTTCATCCTTACTGTGGGGAGGAGCTGCTTGCATTAATGCTGGCAAGGTTCTTTGGGGGAGAGGAACACACAGCAATTGCTTTTATTTATTGCTGTCTGGAAACTGTATTTTGAAGGGGAGAGGCTGAATAAAAATGCRTCTCCAGAAGGTAATTGTAAATACAATTTTTTTGCATTTAGTTTTAGAAGCAAAAAAAAAAAATACAAATGCTTATCCATCTTTAAGCTAGTGCAAAATAATTGAGTCAAAATGAGAAGTCAGAACAGAACTGAGCAAATGTATTCATAACTCTATTTGTCAATGTTTGCAGTACAGCTCATGCATCATCCAGGGATTTTGATGCCTGTCTTTGTTGTGCTGCAAACATGGAGAGATGTTATGAATCATTTACTTACAACACCCTGTTCCCCATGGATGGCATCCCACCAGCTACTGTGGGACTCTGCCTAATCCACAGTGGGAGATACTGGCACTAAATGGAGTGGACAGATTGATGCAGGGACAGGAGCACCAACAATTAACTCCAGATAAGCACCCCAGGATATGACCAGGATAATGGAGGTTCAACTGCAGTCTCAGAGCTGTGCAGAAAGAGCATGAGCAGCAGCTGCTTATTGCAGTAAGCAAAACTAACTCATGCAGGAAARAAGTTTATAGGGCAGGGGGTAGGAGGAAAACCCATTCTACTGACTKGATTATCATAGGGGGAGCTTGAAATAATACTGCTTTGGAGCTGCTTCCTGATTTGCCTATGAAATTCTTACAGGCAGGCTTATTTTTTTTTCTTTAGAAGAGCAACTCTCTTTAGCAGGTTTGGGGCTTTTCTTCCAAAACAATCTACAGCTCTGGAGGTCTGGCTTCAACTTTTCCATTGCTTACTGTGTGGAGTTSTGGGAGCACCCCAAATAGGAGGCACAGTAAGAAACCCTTTCTTGCAAAGGCTCTTCTCCCAGCTTTCCCACCAGCAGCTCAAGGTCAGACATGTGGATCCTTGTGTTCATTCCCTGTCTGGGGGCACCATGGGGATGAAGATSCCCTCCTGTGACAGGGACAGTGCTGGGCTGGGTGTCCCCACAGCCTGCCCCAAGTGCTGCTTTGTCTTGTGGCCACTRTGTGGGGAGCACTGGGCATGGTCACAGGCAGCAGGGATTTCCTCCATGGGACTTGGATGGAAAAGAAATATGAAAATACAAGCTACATCTGTCTCTGGCAGAAAGCCAGGTARCTCTAGCGTTAAAAATGGAGTAACAGCTGGTCTCATGCAACTTGGAATGTCACTCTGCTTCTAGAAGTATTTTTTATACGCTGTACAAAACTCGTGTGTAATTTTTACTATTGGTCTTTTTCCATACAAGTTAAATCTGTAAAATGAGCAAAAATTGGTCAAAACTCAAATTCTGAATATTTTCAGTTAGAGTTTTTAAAGTATATCAAAGAAATTGCCTTTTATAATGCACTATCCTTGTTTAAGATAGTTAACATTAGTGAATCAAAAAAAAAAATACTGAACTACTTAACTAAGTTACAAAGGATAAAATAGTAAATTTAACACAGTTTCTCTTTCTAGAATGCATTCTTTGGATAAAATGAATAATTTAACTTTTAACAGGTGATATGGGAAGATCTCAGTTGAAAGTGCAGAAAATGCAAGTAAAATATATCTTTCTAAAAGAAATTTTCTTCTTACRATTAATAAGATGTGCACAAGGGAGACTGTTTTGGAACTAGGGTAGAAAATTGAATGTGCCTKAGATGTCCACAGGTACTCTAGAATATCATTTTCAGCAAGAAAGGCTTTTTTGAAAGTTAAATAAAGCCATATTCTTTTTCAGTAGCCCTTGGTTCTAACTGTGCTTTAGTCCTTACTCATGAGTMCCACAGGTGTTGACAGAGCTGCAAACTTACGAATTTCTTTGTCTTTGTAATTTCAGTATAACTACACTAAATTGTTTCCTCTAAACCCACTCAGCAATTCCTGCATTTTTAAGGACAGCTGGGTTTTTTAATGTCATTTGTCTCACACTRTGAAAGTTGCCTGTGCTGTCAAAATACTAATTTTAATTGCTTGYTTTTGAAAGTCAGAGCAAGTTTCTTGCTCAGCCTGTATGAAGACAGTGCAAGAATCACTGACTTGATGCACCCGACCACCTATCTTCTTAAGGCATGGATGCTGAAACTGAAAAAATTGMAAATGCTTCTAAAATGAACTATGGAAAATCTTCTGGTTTGTTCTTTGTAGTTAATTCTGAAAAACAATTCTTTATGACTTGGATGAGTGGAAAGGGGAGGGTGCATTTTGGGTGCAAATTTGATTTTAGATACTCATCACCTGTCTGACACAAACCAGAGCATTAAGCTTTGCCTTTACTACTGTGGTGACCAGCACTGTCCATTAAGTAATGCAGGATTGTAAATGAGAAGACTTTGGTCAGAGTAGCTGGCAAAACTTTTTGGTAAGCTTGGATTGTGTGTGTATATACACACACTGCTCAGTTTTCATTTTACCAGAATGTGTTTAACTTTTTATTGAAAGAATTGCAAATTAAACTTAAAGCATGGGTGCATTCTCTAACAAAAAAGTAAGCACACTTCTTTAGTCAGTAACAGGACTTCAGTCAGGAGCCTGTGTGTTTGAAATGTAGTAGGGAAACCCTTTTCCTGATTGTGACAACAGAAATGCTCTGCAGCTATTAGAAGGCAGCCAGTACTGTTCATGAACCTCTGCAAAAGACTGTTTATACTTTCTGATGCTTAAATTGTTTGGAGAGGAAGTAGTTTTCTAATGTTTACAAACAGGAAGAAACTCTCCACAGTTATATATTTTGTACTCATAACTGTCTGAACAGTTTATTTACCTGGTCAACTGTAATAAATGGCTCCTTCACTTGTTTGTGGTCTGTAAAGCATTTTCTTTTGGTATAGGTTCAGATCTTTTCYATAGTTCWTATAGGAAGGTTCTCACCATTAGAAGTACTTACCAAATCAGTTACCARTTTGTCTCACACTGAAACTAACTGGGTTAGATCAATGTATACCTTGCCTAAGAAAGCTAGAATTATCTTTTTGCAGTCCTGTCTGTATATCAAAACCTGATGASAGTTAATGCCATCTGGTAAAAGCTCAGTAGGTTTTCTTGTTTGTAGTATATTAATCTCTTGAAGGTAAAAGTTGGAGATTGCTTCCTTGACAATTCCCTGTGGCTTAACACCAAGGCTGATGTGTTGGAAGATAWGCTAAGCCAAAGGTGGGGAAAAACYCCAGTGATGAAGAAGTGATCWGACCATGAGTGTTTRCTTACAGCCTTTGTGTCTGTGACACACAGTCATCATGTGCTCATTTTGTATCTGGAGGGCCTTCTTCTAGACTTCCCATATTTTAACTGTAGAACCAGCATGTTATGATTTGAGGGRTGTATAAATTTCAAGTCTGACTTACACGTTTGCTAATGAGTATGGTATTTCTCTACTTCTGAATGAAGAAMTACAACTTGACTGGAGCACACCTTATAGCAGATAGGGGAGCACCCAAGGGTCTGTTGGAARCAGTTCTGTGTTCTCAGACGACATGAAAAATGAGAATATGTCAAAATAGAGTGGTATGGATAAAGAAACAGTTTAATTTTATCCTTTTTTTACAATAAAATTCAAAGACAGTCTCAGTTTTCCTATTATGTAATCTAAATTAAACCTGTTAATATTTATTAGACAAATCAATGGTTTGCTTAGGCTAACTGAAGTTTTATGGTACCATCCAGGCACATGTGTGTACACAGTACTCATGTAAACAATAGCAAGGGCAAATACAAGCAGTGTCTTACTTAGGCCTTATATAAAATCAGCTTAGTATAGCAAGTCAACTTTACAGTGCAAATCTGAATGAGAATAAACAGGATTAAAACTTCCAGAGTTTTGAAGTGAAACTCCTAAAGCATAAGATGAAGAGGTTTAAAATKTTAATGCAGTCCTGAGCACCACATCACTTTCTTCAATTTTGTAGAGGAAATGTAATTAGCAACACCAGTCCCAAGTCTTTACCTGTCCCAGTCACCACAGCCAATAAACACATGTGGAGTGACTAAACAAAAGAGCCACACCATGGATGGTCCTAGGGCAGACAGCAACGAGCTAAATACATTTTACTACCTCCAGAATACATCCTCCTACCTSCAGTACAAACTTCAAGGTATCTATCAAAATCAGTTAACCTGGTCTACACAAGGCAAGTTCCAGCTAAGTGTATAGACAGTAACTAAAGCTACTTTCACTCTGACAACATCTCATGCAATTACCCTGCTGACAATTAAATGATAAACATGAGACAAGAAGCTGAAGAATATAGYTGTTGACATACTTAAGCTTTAGTGTATTTTCTCATTGTTTAAATTCCCTTTACATCCAGGTGATAACAGTTGCTTGAGGTGTGCTTGATTCATATAAAGAAAAATAGAATTTAAGGCATGTTTAGTATATTATGAAAAAAGACTTATTAAAAATATGTGGACTCCCTTCTTTCCATGTAAATRTAATGTAGAAAACAAAGTGTAAATTACTGACACCAGCTGAGCTAGCCCATTCTGACCTGCTGAAAGAAATAAAAAAGAGGGCTCCTGGCAACCTCAAAGAGAAACAAGAAGCTAACTTCTTAAACAGCAAAGCAAAATTCATTCAAGAACACTGCTACTGCTTTTAGACCCTGCATTCATGTACACTTACCAGTATTTCTGTTATGTGCATCTCTAAAACATTTAATTCTATCATTCTAGACAAAACACAATTAAGCAGCACTCATGGAATTTGTCAGTTATTGCAAATCTGCAAACACAACTTGAAATAAACACCTGATAGGGAACCAGAAGCATGAATTCAAATCTTTCTGTCAATATGGTTAAGGTAAATGAAGAGAAACAAATGTATGTTGAAAACATRATCAACTCTTGCAAAGAATTGGGTTTGATATTTCATGTATTTAGCATGTTTTGACTAGGAATACAAGCAGAGACTGTGCCAGTGTGTTATGTAGTGTAACATGAACAGCTGAGGTATAATCTGTAAGCAGTTGCTATAAATATGCACAGGAGGTTGTGGACTGGAGAACAGCACAAGTCTGCCTTAACAGGACAGCACCAGTCCCCTGCTCTRCACAAACCTCCACTGCTAACAAAAAAGAAGTCCAGAAAATGTATTAGAATATATATCAAGAAAATACATGTTCAATACCATAGTGAAACTGTCCTTTTGGTTAATACTATAGGTCCTGTTAGTATTTGGATATACACATACAGCAAWGTGCACATCCAGAAGTAAATCTTCAAAGCCATCTTAAAAAAAAAAAGGTAAATAGGAATAAGCTACATTGCAAGAAGCTTCCTGCAGAATTATATATTTAAGGTGATCATCTTTGAACTGTAAGACTTAATTAATATAGCTACTGCATTACAAAATGGCTTGCTGTGAAATCATAATCTCACTTTYTTCCCCACCCAATTAGACACGTCTTCAGGATTGTGATTCAATGATTGTTTAGCAGCAATCTTAGAGAACTGTAAATTCTTTTATTAACAGGCATTATAAACAGATACTACTTTTATTTAGAAACCATGAGTGCCACATTGATGAATATACAGCTCATGAATAACTTAAAAGTATTTCCCATATTAAAAGGCAATGCACACAGCATACAAAAAGTATACTAAACAAAGCTATGAGGATACGTGATTGAAGTGTCTAAGTGATATATACAGTACATAATTAATGTTTTGTTTCTATTCAGCACAGGCTTCTGTACTGCCATTCCCATCATGCC